GGATGTCAGCCTGCCTGGGCAGGTTTGTCCCCAGGAAGCTCTAAGGCCACTGATGTCCTTCTGATTGTCAAGGGGTGGGTGGTTTGCTCAGGGGACAAGAGAGCCTGTTTCCAGTTTCCTCGAGGACAAGAGACCCCTGAGCGAGTGAGAGGGCTGAGGTAGCCCACCCTGCAGGAACAGCCTGCACTTGGTGTGTCAAAAACTCGCCTTTGGAAAGCACGTGGCCACAGCTCCAGCTTGTGACTGAACTCTCCCAGCTTAGGAAAAATGGGTGGCGCTGCCCCAAATCCCACGGAGGAGCTGGTTTCTCAGCAAGGCATGTTCCCCTGCAGGCACCCCGACCTCACTCTGCTTTGCGTGTCCCTGCTTTCCACCCCGAGATGCCCTCAGCAACCACAACTCCTCCTTGGGCTTCCCCCCGTGGTGCAGGCAAAAATCACAGTCCTACAGCTAAAAGAAAAACCCCGCTCGTCCTTTCTGAAGGCAGGCTTTCAGGGAGACAGCCCTGAGAAAATGAGGAGAGGGGAGGCTGCGGTTACCAGCTGGCAGAGCTTATGCGGCTCCACACATGGAGAAGGACCCGGTGCTCAAGCACAGCGATGCAGGCTGGACCAAGAGCAAAACCAGGCCCCGGCTGGGCTTGCTCTACCTGGGTAATTCCCCCGCCAGAGCTTAACGAGCATCCTTCATGGCAAGGGCTGGCGGGGAAGGGCACCGTGTGGCACGGCCCTGCGTGAAGCCGGGGGAAAGGCAGCCTGCTACAGGGGCCAGGGGGTGCAGGGAGGGCAGTGGAGCAGCGATGGCCCCCCCCAGCCCTGGCTGCACCCACTGAGGGGACCTTGTCCTGTCCTGGAGGGCAGAGGGGAGCCTGTGCTGGGGGCGCTGAGGGGAGCCTGTCCTGTGGGGGACTTCTTTTTGGTCTTATGCAAGCATGTAAAAAACATGGGGGTTGGAACTAGATGATCTTTAAGGTGCCTTCCAACCCAAACCCACCTCTGATTCTGTGTCTTCCCCAGCCCACAGGTTGTGCCAGCGCTACCACATTTGCATCCCTCACCAGAATTGAATCTCACGGTAGAAATGTTAATTTCTAGGATTAAACTTCCCTACTAGCCAAGTGCTTTAAATTTATCCTCTGTGTCTGTTAACCACTTAAATGCAGGCAATAGCTTTGGCATTTCTGATAACATAAAAGCCGTAAGAGAAGGCTGGAAGGCCGAGTACACTGCCGGGTCCGAGGGGTTTTTCGATAAGCTCTGGCAGGGTTTTCTCATCCACCATCCGTAGCACACGGCCATTCAGCTCAATAGACCTGGAGAGGTACAGAGAGACTGCCTGCCTGGGCAGCTGTGCTCTGTTTGCCGCCAAGCACAAACAGCTCTGGACCCAAGTGTAAACATAAACCCATCCCAAAGCCAAATTAAACTTCCCTCGAGGGTTTAGGTGTGTGCACACACAGAGCATCTGCTGCGCTCCCTCTGCAAGGACTCCTCAGAGTCATGGCACAGACAAGTTGAACAGCACATGTTTCTTACTCATCTAGTGAGGTTAACAGCACAACAGGCTTTGAAAAGGACAAATGTTAATTGGTTTTGCTCCTGCAAATATTACGATGTCTTCTATGCCCACAGAGCAGATCCTTCCTGTGCCAAGGCATTAGTGGTGACAACCACAGAAACCATAGAGAGCCTGAACAGTGCTGTAAGCCAGGCACTTGGGAAAGCGAGAGAACTGTGCTTGGGCCAAGAAAAAGGACTAGCAGCTGGTGCAGAGCCCTGAGGCCTGCTAGGAAAAAGCTCCCCCATTAACAAGTGTCCTCATACCTTAGCAAGCTTTCAGCAGCCTGATTGAACAGAAGTCAGACCCTTACCTAACACACACACACACACACCCCGCCCCTGATACAGAGAAATGATGACTTGTTTGGAGATTTATTTACTTATAGAAAACTGCTCAGAAACTTATTTACTTACTTATAGCAAGTTACAGTATTACTTATAGTATTTTTTAACACTGCTAAGAATCCTGCTTGCCCAGACTGTTCTGTGGAATTTTGCCCAGGACTACTGTGTCCATCAAAACAAAGCAGTTCATGTGAAAATCTACCAAGGACTACAATGTTCAGCAAAATATTATGGTTTTGTCCTTGAGGAACAGGTGGCTCTAACCAGTTGGAGTGTTGGTAATGAGTAAAGATAGCCATATACGAATGGTAGAAGTTCTATTGGTTCCCTTAGATAAACTGTCTGAAAAACACTCTTGTTATGCAAGAAACTGGCCAAGAGAATCTGCACATGCTCCGGGTAAAAAAACAAGGTGAGAAAGACTATGAGCTTTCCTCCCAAAGCCCCCCGGAGACGCCCCCCAGAAGGCAATGGGCAGGTGCAAAGATGACACAAACTGCTGACATCAGCCTTTCTAACTAACCCGGCCTTACTCCTGCACATGGATGTTTGTGTGATGTAACCCAGTGAATATGGATATCCATGTAAAATGTGCCGTGGGGGTGCAAGCTTTGTGGAGAGATCCCCTTGCACCCCGGCACCGGAGTAAACATCCCTGCTGCGTGTCTCTATTCGAGTTGTAGAGCATTTTTTCCACGAATCACCCCAGCTGACTGAACACAATCCCCACACCCCAAACACCACCTTGAAGACTGAACGAGGTGAGGTTCTAGACACCTCCTAACTCTACTCAGAATCCTTTCTACAGAGACAGGAGGGGTTGCACGCTTACCTGGAAAGTATATTCTCTTTGCCATGAGGCAGCAAGAGGTACTGATCCACGTGCTTGCTTGATAAGTAAATTGGTAACTGCAAACATTGGGTAACATTGTAGAGGTTTAAAGCAAACAGGGTCACGTCCCCTTCTCTGTACTTTGGGCTGCAAGGCAAGAGAAGATGATGGTGGGCATCAGGAGAGAAAGACATGTCACAAACAGATGTGAGTCCTCGTGACAACCCAAATTGCTTTTGTTGGCCTGGGGGTGGCCTTTGGGTCAGTTTCTGGGATATTTTGCCCTTTCTGGAGGCTTACTGGAGGGTGTTGGTGCAGTGGAGGTAGACGCGGAGCTTCCTCTTGTCGGCTCCTGCTAGATGGACCTGCAGCACCTTGGTACCCACCAGCCTCTTGTAGAGCAGCGAGAGCCAGTAGTCCTGGGAGGCACAAAAACACACATAAGCACTTGTGTACCTGACAGGTAGTCCACACAGTCCATTCATTTTGCTGGTAGATTCCGGGGTTTTTGTCCTTACATTATTTTGGTTTGCCACGTTTCTCACCACATCTATCTAGATCTCCACAAACAGGGTAGCTAGAGAAAAAAAATCCACCTCCAGGCTGCAGAACAGCTTTGTTTACAAAGTAAACATTTTCCCCTTCCTATGCAAATCTCGGAGCTCTTTCTGGGCCTGAGGAGTGTTTGCATTCTGGAAACTCCCTTGTACAGGGCACCTCAGGGCTGAACCCCCAGGGGTGAGCGGCCCTTCCTACAGGAAAGCCCAGGTACATCGAGGATTCTACCCTCCCACCCCCACCCCA